CGCGATCCCGGCTGGCGGCGGATATAAAAAGCTCCCGTCGCAGTAGCTGGCCACCCACGGCTCGCAAGCCCGGCTGGAGCCTTCCTGGCACAGCTGGGCACCTCTGCGCTTCCCCTGGCCACGAAAAAAGGTTGATGGGTCCGCAGCTCGACGCTGCTTTTACCCCAGCCCTCCCGTCCTGCCGAGGACGGTCCGTCATCCCCATGCGCGTGCGCGGCAGGGTAAGGGAGGCAGGGCTTTGGGCACACGACGGCAGCCCTTCTGCGAGTTTCCCTTCTGCGAGTTACATCCCCTTAAAGCGTCTTTCTCCTCTTCCAGAAGGCTCATTCTCACCAAACTCGTGCGCACGCAGTCTTCTCCGAGACTCCTCAGCTTCTGTCAGATTTGGTTCAAATAAGTTAACAACTCCAAAACGGGTAAATTTTGGAGGGAGGGACTGAGTGAAAGGCACACACGTGCACACACCCAACACGGTCACAGAAACCTCCCTTTCCTTTAGAAAACCAGCCTAAAAACAGGAAAAGCAAAGGAGCTGATGAAAGGAGACAACGTCCTCCTGGAGTGCACTGGGGGCATGTGACACACTGTGTCTCGTCATCCAGGGGACTGTATGTACTCACGCACGCGACAAATGCTAAATACGGGCTTGTCGGCCACCGAGGCTCCAGGGGACGCAACGTGTCTAACGTCTTCCTTGCAGAAGTGCCCTCGGGAAGCACTGATGTAATTTAAAGATATATAGAGTGGGAGATCAGACAGGCTGCAGACCTCGTAGTCAGTGAAACGTGCGTCCTCGGTACATCAGGACACGGCGACCTAACTTGGACCTGAAGCCTGACGTTAACGGAGACAGGAGGCTGGTGGGCAGCAAGAGGAGCCAGCTCTGGACCTGTTCCCATCTCAGCACTGCGACCCCAGAGCCTTCTCCCTGAGGTCAGAAAAAACCCCGGCTGGACCGAAGATCATGCAGCCACAAACAAGCTACGTCTAATTTAGGCAGGCGCCGCTCTCAGGGCATGAAACCGTCTTTCCTTCTCGGAGGGCAAGGTCACATACGCTGCCCTGCAGTCACCTCTGGCTGCTCGCCAGCATCCCTCCCACCGCCACCTCCCCTCGCAGGTCTGCTGGTGTCACGGTACCTGGTGGGGACCAGCCTGACACGGGCACAACCGCCAAGGCAAGGGACAACCTGCAAAGGGGTCGAGCGAGGGTGGCATTGGTTCCTGGCCACCTGTGAGAGGGGGGGCCACGCTGGCAGATTGACTTCTGCTCCCTTTCGCGTTCGGCGGCTCTGGAGCGCAGAGCCAGCGCATCAGCGCTGCCAGGGGAATCCTGACCGACGGGCCGCGGCCCTGCCAGCACACCATTTTCTGCCTGTAATTAGGACCAGGCCTTTACCTTTTACCTCTTTCTACAAATTCTTGCTATGTAACAGGATGTTGCGTTTGAAAACAAACACACAGAGGAACGACAGATAATCCTAGAAAACAAGCGTGTTTGCAGCGCGGGTCTCCTAACTGTGCAAAGCCGGCTTTATGTCTTTGCCCGATTAGTGTGCACGAGACATAAAGAGCCGGGCAGCAGGTCTGCGACGCCGTTATCAGCTTTAAACACAACGGACGATAGCAGCGCTCTGCAAACATACAGCTACTATTGCTCTTATGGTTGCTGTTTCACCCTGCCCTTCTCCAACACTTAGTCACCGTCACAGATGTTTCAGCTCACCTTCCTCTTCGCCCTAATCTTTCCAGCTTGTGCAGGCTATTGCAAACATGCCTCAGAAGACATTAACGTTCTGGGTTCCCAAAACAGGATAAATTTACTAGGCAGAAATAAAATGAAGTTTCTTTAAACCTCGTCCAAAAAACGGTCTTGCCATTAGAGCTCTACGAGAAAAGCAGAACTGGCCATGTGGCTTTCTCAGCCTGCAGCTTCCCGGGGGCGGAAAGAGCAAAAGAAATGCAAAACAGCACTGTGTCCAATTTGCCTCGGGAAACACACAGCAGCCCCATCTGCCCCAACGTCGTAGGCTCTGCAGAGAGGCCGTGTCACCGGTGCGGGGCGACGGGGCTCGGCGAATCGGCTCAGCCTCGGCGCTGGACGAACGCAGCGGCATCGCTTCCAGAGGCAGCTCGCCTAAGAAACGCCCTGGCGAGGTTCGTGTGACCCTGAGCTGTGCTGGTGCAGGCTGAACGCCTTAAGCATCTCTGCAGCGAGATCCCCTGCTCTCTCGGGTCTGGCGGGTTGCACTGAAATGGTCACGATGTCTCTGGACCAAGCAAGCCCCGGGCACTTACACGGTACGATGCTGGGCGCAGCCTGCCTGAGCCTCCGAGCCCAGAAGCTCCAGGCCTGGGGAAGGCCCCACGGAAGCACTCTGGGCCTCCCTGCAGGCACCAGAAGCAGCAGGACTCACACAGCTCGTTGCAGGGGTATCCTCATTTCCCCCAGCTAGCGGAGAGCTGCCGTTCCTCCGGGCTAAGGCACGGCGCCAGGCGTCTTTGGTACTGTGCTTCATGCCCTGACACTTCCAGTTATCCCATTCACCTGCGATGAGCTTTCCCCCATCCTTTGGGGTCGCTTTCGGGCAATAACGACGCAGCGAGTTCCCGCTTGTCAGCTGAACGCTGCCTGATCGCTCGTAGCCCGTCTCAACGGCAAAGCGAAGCATGTCAGCTCAAATCACCCCGTCGCTGCTGCACTAACGTGGCCGTTACCGCATCCCTACCGGCTCGATGCCTCCTCCGCACCGGTGCGTGCAGCACCCTGCTCTGTGGGGGGGAAAAGCTTCCTTAAACGGCATCAGGGTAAGAGCTGGCATAGGGGTAGCTGGTCGCCCCACCGCCCAGCTGCCTATTCCCGCTCTTGCCAAAAGCAGGTATGGAAACTCGAGAGCATTTCCTGGGCGGCTCTGGGAAAAGGACGGAGACCATTTCCAGCCAGCAGCTCCACCTCGCGTCTGGGGTCGGTCTGGGTGCGCGGCCGAAACGCTGCGCCGATCGCTTCTGAGCAACCCAGCCAAACGGGTCTGTCGGAAACCCTTTGCTCCTGACACTTCTCTTTCTTTTCCTTCGGAGAACTTTGTTAGTATTTTCCATCTCGAAATACTTAATTTCATTTCACCGAGGAAAATTCCAGCTCTGCCTTCTTTGCTTTTACATTCCTTTTGAATTTAATTCCTTGTTTTCCCAGGACTCAGTGACTTCCAGAATACTTTTTGAGAAAAAAGTCAAAGAGAAAAAAGAACCTGCACAAGATTGCAACAAAATACACTAACCAAAATGAAACAAAATGCTGAAGCTACTGTTTAAACTGGTTTAAAAATACCTGCTCTTGAAATAATCCAAACACTTTCCAGGATCACTTGAAATTCAGCGCTATCTTGGAGGCGAGTAAACACGGTGTTCATGACGCATCCCTACCAAGGGGTTTCTGACTACAGTCCCCAAGTCTCTGCACCTCGTGTAGACGTCACATCTTTTTGCCAGTTGACTGCATTTTGGTGAAACGCCGGCACTGATCTAATTAACAGCTGACACCACAGCTGGAAGGGAAGCAAGCCGACAGGATACAGGCTAGCTGTCGAGGGACATGGACGGATCGCGCAGCTGGGAACGCCATGCACCGGGGAACAGCTCAGGGCCAGGGGAACAAACCGGGAACTGGGGCAGCAGGTGCTGACCATGCATGAGAGCAAACTTACTGCTGTTTTCCCCTCTCAGCGAAGGTCTGCTTCTATTTCTGAAGCTTTTCAACCGCTCCTCTCGCTCAGTTTCCCTATGACTAAGCTGCACATCTGTACAATGGGTATAATCGTGCTTCCCTCCTGCTTCTGGCCTGATGTAAGCCGTAGGATGTCTGGGAGCAAGTACAGAGTAGTGCGCAGGGGTGGCTCCCGCCGCGCAACCTGAACCGGCAGCGCAACGGCACCGCTACCTGAAACGCAGCGCCGAAAGGAGAGCCGGAGGCCCGCTGGGCGTTACCGGCATGGGTGCTCCCGGGCGCCAACCTCACCCCCTCGGCGAGCCGCAGTCACACGTACCTCCTCTGCTGCCGATAGCCTGACAGCTCCAGGAGGGATTTCCGAGGGAAAGACCTAAAGAGTTTTTGCACCTGCTGTTTCCATGACAACAGCCTTTTCTTCTGTATCTCTGTAAACGCCTGCCCGAAAAAGAGAAAAATAGAAAACATGAATATTTTCTCAACGAAGCGAGCGACGATGCATATGTGTGCATATATAAAGAAAAGGAGCTAGCAGCTCAGCTGTGCCTGGAGCAGGCGGGGTGGGAGCCGAGCCCCGGCCTCCCACGCTTGCCCCCGTGCTGCTGTCTCGAGGAAGCACCCATCTCGGTCAGACCAAACGAGTCCCGAGCCGCTCCCCCCGCGTCAC